TCTTTCGTTGAACCCGCCCAGTTCGGCAACTTGTACCAAACTCGATTTCTTTCCCGTACAAAACCTTTCGACAAATCACTCTCAAGCTGTCCATTAAATCTCCACGGTTCATTGCTCTTGATCGAAGAGCCGCTAGGATCTGGCGCTTTTCCCGATGAGACACAGTTCTGCTTTCTTCCATCCTATGATCTTTTGAATTCGGTGACCCACTTTGCCGGCTCAGAGAGCACGAACGAACGAAGAAGACACGCGAAAAATGCGCCAGACCGGGAAAATTTAGTCCACAAACAAGCTACCCTCACAACGTGCGTTGAACGGCGTTCTCTAGAAGCGATGGCGCGGTAACGAACGAAAGTTTCATGCCATGTTGCGATGTATACCTCGGAAGAAGAAAAAAAAATCTGCAGCGATACAACCCAGTAAAGATGCCCTGTGGCTGCTCTGCAACTACCAACAGGGACTTCTTAGAGAAGCACGGATCTTGGACAACGAAGGGGATATGAATATCTCTCTCTGTCCCTGTCTCTCTCTTTCTCTCTCTCTCTCTCACACACACAAACACACACACACACACACACAAACACACACACACACACACACACACACACACACAAAGAGAGACAAACAGTCAGACAGACAGACAGACGGAGGCAGACAGACGAGAAAAAGGAAGACTTCATGAGAGGTTTCCTCTCTTGGAATTGCAGATAAGAGCTCAAAATAAATAGGTTGTTACCGTATTTACCTGACGGATATACACGCGGGGGAGAAGTTAAAGCTCGCCAACGTGCCTATTAGTCACAGTGTGATTGCATGCTTAAGTACGTCACGTGTGCTTCCAAATCGCGCCTAACGCATAAACGAGCAGCTTAGAAAGCATTATTATTGCCAATATCTTATTTTATTATGGAAGGGTCTACAAATTAATATGCAAGGCATTTAATTTAGTGCTCCGATTAAACAGTGATCTGAAGAAACGTCCAGGAGCTGACAACATTCGAAATGAAGCTTCACGACGGCGCGAGAAAAAACGTTGCTTTATTTAGTTAGGCTTTGAATCAAACTGCCCTTTATCAGGATTTTAACCTAAAAGCTAGTTTATTCTAAATGTGGCTTCCAAAGAAAGTTTTCTACAACACCAAGGAACTTCGATGTAGACAATCGATCCCTTATCATGTAGATATTACATTTTCACACTTGTGGAAGAAGATTTTATGGTGTCCCATGCTTAATCATTCAAATGATTAAACGACCATGCGATCATCCACGCCTATGGTTAGAATTCAGTCCCAGCTATACAATTGGGCAATGGGTTCGAATATTTATTGAGTGACAGTCATAAAATCTGACTGTTTTGTCAGCCGTGCATTGTTCTTCCTTTACCGAGATGTCGGTTACACACTCAAGAACCCCGAGTGATTTAAATAAATCATCAGCTGTTGACTAGACACGTACACCTAGAAATTTGTTTGTGTGTGTTTTAGTGCCTCTGCGTGGCTCCTCGTTTGGTCAGTAGTTTTTGACTGTCAGAAGAAAGTAAAGTAGGTCAATGACGTCACAACCACTTGAGGTAATGACCGCCATACTTGGTGGGTAGAGAGCCAACTATATCTTGACTTCAGTAGCAATACAAGTAAAATAGATGCCTGGTTGTATTATTCTTTGACTCTAATCTGATCGCTTAACGAAATATAAAAACACGATAATCTGACTAACTCGAATCTCCTCATCCATTATGACGTGTATTTAAGTCTATACACATACGCAGTCAAAGCAGAAAAAAACGAAAAATAAATAAACTATGCCCTCTACCTGGCATGCGATTGAAAGAATTATACGAGAAAAATGGTTTCTCAACCTCAGAAATCAAAACCGATAGAAATAAACACAAACATTCACATATATGGTCCGTAAGGCTACATAAAATTAGGCAAGAAGACACAGGCAGAAAACTGCGGTCTTAGCTTCAAATTACAACATTCAAGCACAAACAAACGAAAACGTAGAATGAACAATATAAGCGACTACGAAATAAAACAATAATAGCAGAAACAAAGAAGAAAACTATATCCAAAAGATCCGCTTTTGCGTAAAACAAGTTTAGCAAGTCTTCTAGTTGACAGTCCTAGTGGATAAACTCCCCAAGGCACTCTACCCAGTCGACACTAACTCCCCTCTTTACAATGGATGAAAAAAAAGGATAAACAATCTGTTTTGAACAATGACCCGGGTTCCTTCAATCTAAAAAGAAATAGAAAGAAGAAGAAAAAAGTGACCAGAAAGACGGAATATGCAGCAAATAACTCTCGGAATTTCATGCTTCAGGGAGCCCACATGATTTGCAGCCACGTATTGCCCAACGAACCGGATCTACCTGGTGAAGCAGGATTGCGCAGTCTTTCGGTTGCAAAATTCCCTACTCTTTTGCTTGAAATTCGGAAGACGCACCCTATACTAAATCATAAACGGCGTGCCGTCGCAGTTGACCGCTTTATTTTAAGTAACAAACTTTATTGTTGCACCGTCTGCAGTCCGAAAGAACTCTCAAGTGGTTGTCGCCAGGAGGTCTCAGTAGACAGTTCCAATATTTCGCCCGCAGCCATCAAGCGTTCAGAGCGTGTTGAAACAAGATGCTGCGTAGCCGCGGCTGCTTCCACTTAACGAGATTCTGCCCTCCCCCCTTTCCTTTCCTTCCGAGGAGAATGGCACACGGTTGCTTTGGTTAGACAGATATTTAATATCAGACAGGGGGTTTCAACCTGCTTGTTTCTTCAATATTTTAAATTCTTGGTATGAAACAGTTAGGCCAGGTAAGCGGCCTTCTAGCAATGTATTTACATAAATCAAAAATAAACAAGGGCGCAAGCTTGAGGCAGCTTTGGTACGCGTAGAATGGAACAATCGTAGCTCCAAGCGCACACTGGTGATAGAAAATAGAACCAATGAAGAGAAACAAACTTGAAATTGAATTAGCTAATAAACATTGAAGTAAAACAAAAAGAAGCAAAGTGCGTTGAAGTGAAATTAAGCAATTTCTCCCGCCACTTCACTTTCATAAAAGTGCTTGGGATTGTGCTGGTTGGTTGTTTGCCACACTTTGATTCAACTGCGCCGCAGATGATTACAAATGACAACGCCTTAGTACCTGTGTGGTTATTTGTAATCCTTCGTAGCACAGTTAAATCAAAGCTGGCTCTCATAGTTTGCGTAGTTTGCCCAGGGGTCGGATTGGCGCTAGACAAAACATATTTTCAGGTATAATCTTCTTGAACATATTGCCCCATATTTTCAAGAACTACAAAGCCCTCAGTGTGCTGTTCATGTGATGACCAAAGTAACTACCCCACGCAACCACCTTTCCGCAATCAGTTTAAGGAAGATTATAGCATCTGGTTCCCTGGTTTTCGTTCTTTTTATCGGACCTACCGATTCTTCATTTCTCATAAAACAAGAGCCAATTCCGTTCCTGAAAAGCGAGCCACTAGAGATTTCTGCAGCGCTACCACCAGTGCCTTAGCAGGGTCGCTGGTAACACCAAGCTTGAGTTTACTATAGAGATCGCTCACATTTATCTTCAGAAGAGATCGGAATAATTCCGCGAGCATTGTCTGCGAACTTGTGTTTGCCGTACCTGTTTTTCGTCTCTGCCCTTCTTCCAATGCCAGCTTGGCGTCTACATATTCAATAAGAACCCAGGGACAACGAGGAAAAGTTCTTAGTGTCCGTATTTTGCATTCTGGAAACGGACACTGTCGCTAGAGAAGATCGACCTCTTGCAACTACGATGAGAGTGACGCTTATTGCTTGCAGCTGCAAGCAGCCAATTCCTGTCTATACTTCGGATGTTTATCTTCTGTCCCAATACTTAATTTTCTCTATTTTGTATGGCTGCATCCAGGTCGCAATCACACGGAAAATAGTGCGGCTGAAATGGACCCTTCTAATAATCACCTTCTGAGCGCATCCTTCTACGTCTAATGCGCTGTAGAACGAGCTGTTCAACGAGTTGAATGAGTGGGCATTGTTTAACGCCTACTCATTCAACTCTCAGCCATTTTGTAGCTTCGAATTAACATCCATCTACAAAAAAAAAAAAAAAAAAAAATTGGTGCGGCGCAAATGTTACAGTTTTCGCTCAATTCACAAAATATATTAGTACAATATTAGGATCGAGACCTCTCCCTCTTTGTACCACCCGACTGCGTATTTATTTGCAGCGTCGATTGTCCGATACTACAATCTATTCACTCATGAACAGCTCAATATACTGCCCTTCTTTACAATTCGCTATCGCCAAATGGGGTTTATTGCCAGATCCCATTGCAAAACAGACCCATATACATTTTTCTTGTACGTCGTTTACAATGTGTTTATTTGTTAGGTGTTAGTTATCTTAATTATTTGCCTGAAACAGAACATTTCACTGAAATTGCGCGTTCTCTTGATACCACTGATTTGGCAAGCAAGTACTAATGAAAAATGTTATTAGTGCCACCTCTTCAGAAATGAAGTCCTACGAATCTTACGCTTTTAATAATTTATTCATCTCGGTAGTGTTCTCCGATGACGTGCCATCGTCGTGCTTCATTTTTCGACGCTCTTATTGACTCATCGCGGTCGTATCTTTCGCTGTTTGCCAATTTACACTCTTCTTTTAATTGTCACGGAGAGGCCCGTTTCATTTGAGACTGGGCAACGTGCTCGTTTATGTTATGTTTTATCGAACCTCTAAGAAAAATATAGAGTGGAAAGAAGATAGGACCAACTATAGGTGAAGTGCGTCATCTGGTATACTGATTTCCATATTTTTTTTTCTTTTGACATGGAACCTTATGCAGAGCAAAATAAATGTACGGTGAGCCAACACATATATCACTAGTGAGCCTATAAGCCCCAAACGTCATCTGGGCTCCGCTGTCCACATCGTTCCGTCCGTGTAGTGATGACGTCCTGCATGACGCGCAGATTGTACCACACTCGCGGACAGGGAAGACACTTACCGATAAGGTAGGAGTAGCCATCCAGCCGAAGCACGCACTTCTTGGTGGCCTCCGGCCTGCGGCTGTTACCGGTCATGAGTGGCACGCTGTTAGACTTCTGCAGGGCGTCTTTTCCCATACGATTCTGGGCCAACAGTGAGCTTTCGGCGCTGCCCGGACCGTCTATCTGCATGGTATCCGCTCTAAGTTCGCGGGGTCGCCACCACCGGGGACGGGGGCAGCAGCATCTCCATCACGTGCGCTCTCCTGCATGCGAGCGCCAGCAGTTCGCGCCGTGAACGCGGGTTCAGGACGACGGGAACGGCATGCAGTCATTGTGACGCTCCCTCCACTCAGGTGCGCTCGGTTCGGCTCTGCCCTGGCCCGCTGCTACCGCCTGGTCCGCAATGCGGAACTGGCGACATCACCGAAAGAGTACCCACGGCTGCGACACCGAGAAACGCTTCCAACGCAACACGCGGTGGAACAAAGAACCCAAAAAAGTTTCGTAAGGTTCACGGTAACGGGTCGCGATTGAGAACGTCTTTCCGTTACTGCATCGGCCTCATCCGGCTGGAATACGTTAAATGTCAAATGCATAAAGGATGCGAACGGCCATCACGCGCGAAAAGCACTAACCGATGAATGCTGAAGTCATGAACCCAGAAACCCAGTCCAGATGTTGCCACAAAATATATTATGATTAGATTCAATAATAAAAAAAGCGAAAGCATAAAAAAAAAAAAGAAACAGCCCGCAGAGGCGCAAGTTTAATTCTGTTTTTTCTCCGGTTAAAACACATTAGTAAATTTCTATTTCGGATGCAACGCACGAAACGAACGATGTATCCTGAAGGACCCCACGCACAGTTGCGTTTGGGTGCGTTTGACTGCGTTGCGGCTGCGGAAAACCAGGACATCCCCGCTTCTTATGTCGCGTGCCAAGCTATTCCTTGAACAGAACTCCACGCTTCATACGAAGCACAGATGTGCCGGTGACTCGCTTTCGTTTCACGACGCAACGCAATCAAACGTACTCAAAAGCTCTCAAACGCAACTGTGCGTAGCGGCCTATATCGTGCACGTATGGTGTAGTCGCCCGTAACCACCCGCCACCCCCCCCCCCCCCCCCCCCCCCCCAAAAAAAAAAAAAAATCAGACACGGCAATGACTTGGACGAGCCATTGGAAATAATGTAGGAATTGGACAAGCACGTGTACATTCGCGCCGTGTTGCTTCTCGTGCAAAGTACTCAATACTGACGTGACACCAACGTTTTGAACCTCCTGCTCTCATGCTGCGCGCCATGCACCCGTGTACTTCGTTTCAATGTCAGTCCCTCTGACATCCAGACGTCACCCACTGAGTCTAGATTACGCCAAGAAACGAAGACACGAACCCAATTCTTCACGAGCCACGTCTTGTACGTTTTTTATTTTTTTTTATTAGAGTGTTCTTGGAAGACATGACAGTAGAGTAGCTCGAACAGTCGAGGCACGCTCACCCCAACCCGTATTTCTTCCCCAGCCCGCGGCTCAACGGCGCCCGCAGCTGTCGTTCGCAGGAGAGCGCCCAGTCGAAGGCAGCTCCGGCGACGTGCCCGGGATCGGCGGTTGGACAGTGCGTCCATTATATGGCTCCGGGCATCGACGACGTCCGAGGTCCCGGGCACGCCACTGTCTCCTGTGACAACCAGGAAGGAAAGGAGGCGGGCAAGGGGAGCGAGCGTGCGCCAACTTTCTTCTAATCGAATGCCGCACGTATCGGGTGCGCGGCGAGCGCAGCGCGGTCGTTCAACCTCCGCCCTTAGCACGGCGTCACGTTAGACGACTGCTGATGAGTGCTGCTGTGCAGCGCCGCACCCAGGGCTCCGATTTCGCGTGCGGGGTCCCACTCCGATTGAAATAGCAGCGCCGCAACGAGTTGGGGAAACTCGAACCGGTGTACAGAGCTCCAGGCAACGACGAAGCAGAGGCCTTACGGTCAACAAGAGAAAGACCATTGGAAGCTTTTCCGCTGTAGTTGTTTACTTTCCAGTCAGGGAGTGTGCTGGAAGGAAGGTGTAACTTTACCGCCGGCAATTATCCAAATACCATCTCGCTTCTCTTGTGCACTGATCGGGGCAAACTAGGAGCGAAGTAAGTTTATAAACACGCAGAAGGAGCGGGGGTACTGCTTCGACGTCGTTACGTCGAATCAGCACGTACTATCGGGGAAAAATGAAATGCGAACAGAGGAGCGCGTGGCTCGCGGAACAGGCTGCGCCGCCTGGAAGTGAACCTAGGGGCGAGAGTGCGTGGCCTACTTCGATGTGTTCACGCCCCTCCATTGGCGCTCCCCCAGCTTCGGCAGTGAGCCTCTCAGTGCGCTGAAAGCTGTCACCGCAATCTTTGCCTGCTCGGCGAGTACGGCGAGCTTCTTTGCACCGCACGCGCTGAGCCAGCAAAGATAGCGGTGAAAGCTTTCAGCGCACTAAGAGGCGCACTGCCGAAGCTTGGGGAGCGCAGAGGGAGGGGTGTGAACACGTCGGAGTAGGCCACGCACCCTCGCTCCTAGGCTCACTTCCAGGCGGCGCAGCCTGTACCTCGAGCCACGCGCTCCTCCGTTCGCATTTCATTTTTCCCCGATAGTACACTCGTGTACTGCTTGTTTACGCACCAACTATATTTGCTTACATCACGCCGCGACGGTGGAGTCTCGAGCGCATTTCGGGTCTGGGATGTGGTCAAGAAACGCCCAGTCTCAGCCACTGATATAATTTGTTTTGGTAAATACCAGTCGAAGCTTGCCTTTTTGTCGAACTGCCGCAATGTTTAGCAAATTGGAGAGATACCGAAAGATGGGAAAGATTTCAAGATCAGCTTTTACGTGAATCCTGCCTGACCGATCTGTCCAAAAATGTAAATAAACACCGTAAAAAAAAATTAGAAGAGGTTGGATTTTGTTTGCTTGTGCGGGAAGCATTTTGCTGCAGATGAATTCAATGAGAGTTGTACGATATATTTGTATCGTTCCAATACGAACGTGGATGCACCTTAAAGGGGTCCCAACGACCTAGCCTACGTTCCGAGTGACTTCACGTTCGAACAACAACGGATCTTCGGCATGGTAGCTGCGACAGAGGGTAATTGTAGACCTGCAAAGACGTACACGAAATCGCAAGATATATATGATTGTGCTACACTAAAAAAGGACGTGGACGGGGAGGAATACATAACGTTTTGGGTGGACGCCCTTCTTCAAGTGACAGACACGAGACGAGGGCAAGGTACAAGGTTGTACACGCTAGAAAAATGGGGGTTGGTCGAGAGGGAGGGGAAGGCGAAACCGTTAAAAGACGGAGTACATCTTCTTCGTTTGTCATCTATTGCAGTAAATGACAAGAAAAGGATAAAAAAAAAAAAAAGCCGGGACGCGCCGGTGACACGGGATCTCGAACCTGTGACAAGGTAAAGGCTTGGGTAAATTGCCTCGGTGTAAACGGCCGTAACCAATGGCAATCGCCGACTTGTTACGCCTGATGCACATGGTGCGATTCTGCTTCCGAATTTTTAGCTGCGAGGCCGAGCACCTCCACTTCCGTCCACACTTCTTTTGGGGCACTAGCGAATACGCAACTGAAAATCTTCAGCCGAATCGCACCATGTCCTTAGCACACATTTTGCGGCTCTAACGCAGATTAATCGCAGTACCCCACGCCCTTCAAGCCAAAGTTTGCCGCGTAACGAGCCTTTTCCATTTTGCTGAGGCCACTAAATTGGTTAGCCATTGCTAGGAAGGCGTAGAATCAACGATTCCAACGCGAGGAAGACCACGACCCACACTGACGCCGAAAACATCGAATCCCAATCGTTTGTGGCGGGGCGCCGCTGGTCGCACAGTTCTGTTTGCATTCAAAATAATTGGGGGATCGGTGGCCGAGTGGGCTAGTGCACACGAGCTCGGAGCACGTGGAGCGAAAGCTCGCGCTGCAGAATCCAGGGATCCTGGGTTCAATCCCCACCCCAGGCCCGTTTCAATGTGGATGAGCATCGTACCGGCATGCGGTCGTGTATCACTACTGCGTGGTGCACGTTAAAGACCCCAGGCCAGCGTTTCTACTGCACTGGCTAAATTGCTCATCTACAGCTGGGAGACTCGTCGCCCGCTGAGGCAGGCCAAGTTCTAGGCTTTATAACCAAACACACAACCCAATTTTTTTTTCTCAAAATAATTGTGTTGGGTGTTAGTCCGCCCCAATGGGCGCCTGGTGTCTCAGCTGTAGATGAGCAATATTAGCGGCGAGATGTTTTGGTGGCGCCCTCCTACGGTTCTTTCTCGTGACGTCATTACCTGGCGCACAACAAGTTCGATGGTGTTTATAATGAGCATGGTGGAACCTTGAAATCATTGCGCTCTTAAACCAACGCTACTAACACCGCCAAAACTGAAGTTCTTCCATTCCTCTTATTTTCGTCGAAAAGAAATCATTTTCTGACGTCATATTCAGAATTCGGCCAATCGTGGAAGGATGATCACAGCGGCGCTTTTCATCGCGCACGTCGCCAATAGCCAGTGCGGTACAAGCGTTAGCCAGGTGTCTTTAACGTGCACCACGCAGTAGTGATAAGGGCCACCCACACTAGCGAGAAAACGCGCGTGGCACGCCGATCGCGGCAAGTAACAAAATGTCGCCGAAGCACAGTCAGCGCCACGAGCGCGTGCAGAGACGCGCCCTTTATCTTGCCGCTTAACCGATTTATCGGCGCGCCGCGCGCGTTTTCTCGCTAGTGTGGGTGGCCCTTTACTCGACCGCATGCCGGTACCACGGCCACTCGATTAGGGGGATCGAGTGGCCGTGCTGGTACGATGCTCATCCACATCGAAACGGGCAGGGTGGGGATTGAGCTCAGGATCACTGGGTTCTGCAGCGCGAGCTTTTGCTCCACGTGCTCCGAGCTGGTGTGTGCGCTAGACCACTCGGCCGCCGATCCTCCTTTTCGTATATACGTTGGTGTACAAACTCTACGCTTGTCCACGGACGATTAGAAGTCACAGCCGAGCGTGCCGAAATCGCTATTTTCAGTGCACGAGCTCTCGGCTTCGGAAAGCAAGCATGGCACACGCCAAACGCACCAAGATGTATGCAGTGGTAGACCAGATGCTCGTTTTAGATACATCACTGGGGAAGGTATGAGCGCGTGCACGGAACTCC